TACATTGTCGTTAATATTATCTCAAAGAAAACGTGTGTGTGTGTGCATGCATGCTTGTTCACCCTCAAATTGCCAAAACTTAAATGGACTGAGTCACAGGAAATCTGGCAACTTAAACCAAAATACAAAACACCTAGCATGGTCATAGACTGCTATTTCCAAGCAGATGTTTCAAGTCATCATATTCAGAAGTACCAGGTACAAGTACTTCGATATGAAAAGAGGGCGATAAGACCTTTGGAGGATACATACAGCTGCAGTTTTTGTAACATAGGGATGTTGTCCAATTAACAATACACAGCTGCAGTGGAGGGTCTAGAGATATCAGATTTGGCCTGAATCAGAAAGCTTTTCTTAGCTTGCCAGAGAGAACATTTGTCCAATAGTGTCCATTTAAACATTTCTGTAGACTTTCATCCTGCATTTTTCACCCAAGTCCTTACTGGGGCTCCTTGAAGATGAGGCCAGACAGAGATGCCAGACAGAGGAGAGGCATCTCTACAGCACAGTCACACAGTTATCCACGACAGCTAGTGAATACGGCACATAAGAACCTGGATTTGCTCAGAGAAAACCAATTCAATGTCAGGAAAACAACTGTTGTACAGCATTACATACAAGCTAATATACCCTCTATCTATCTTGGATATAATCAAATATGGTTTTTTATCAGCTTGTGCCTCTGCTGTTCGTCTTTTGCTGTCCTCTCCAGTAAGGTATTCAAGACTGTAGATGCTCACCTGATTCACTGCAGGGCTTTTAGCACTAACTGAAATAATAAGTTACTGCATGCAAGAGTGCACTAGCACCACGTCTCTGAAAAAAAGGGGAGCCGTGAGTTCCTTTCATGCACAGTCTGTGTGAGGCTTTGAGAACAAATCACATTAGAAGAACAAAGAAACAGCTCCTGCCTGTAGCCTCCACACAAATATGAAGGCGCCCACCAAAACACTCAGACAACATCTTTTACAGAGCAAGCAAAGGAGCACAGCCTCAGACATTTGAGGAACTGAGTCAAGCAGAAAACTACCTAGCAAAATCAAGAAACAATTGAACAAATTTTTGAGTGTTCAGATGTTTCACTCCAATATCTCAGCT